AGTTGGGGGGTTGAGGATGCTGGGAGAAAGCCCCTCCTATAGAGCGCTGGTGGTAGTGTGTGGCATGGCAGAGTGAATCCCACCAGGAGAGGGATCGGCACACCCTGTGCCCTGTCGCATCCTCTGCCCAGAGCAGTGCCTGGTGCTGGGGCAGTGAAGTGGCAGTGGGGCACGTGAACCAGTCTCGCCTTCCCTCAGACCCAGGGCTTTTGTGAAGCCCCAGGCCAATCCCTGAGCAGGGGGCTGGGATGGAGGAACAGAGCAAGGAAGGAGATGAAGCAGCCCTGGGTCACTGATGTCAGGGGCATCTCTGAGGGTCCCGGGAGATGCTGTTTGTGGGCTGGGCCAGAGCAGGGTTGTCAGAGCCCCCAGCCACTTCTTTGCATCTGCCCCAGCCCCAGTGATGTCCCTCCCTCCACCCCAGCACAGGCTCCCTGCCTGCAGCGGGAGGGGCTGATTACATAACAGCCCAAACCCTGGAAAGCGTTCAGCATCTCTGTCAGGCTGTATTTTCATCTGTATCAGGCTGAGGTGCAGCCTAGAGAGCTTTGACATCCCCCGCTGGGCCCCCACCCAAAGGGGAGGATTCTGAGGATGGTCCCCAAGGCTCCTAAGAGAGGGGAGGTGCCCCCTGCTTGTGCATTTACACACCTGCCACAGGACACTCTCCATGGGTGATGTTCACCCAGCACACAGTCAGAGTCGCTCTGGTTCTGGTGACTCCCAACGGGAGGGGCCCACTTTCCCCTTTGGTGGCCTGTGAAAGACTCTGAAGTTCCCTGCTACTCACCGGTTTGTCTCCTTGAAGTAGCCATGCACTGTCTTTCCAGGCTCTTTCCAGGCTCTTTCCAGGGCTGAAGTTTTTTTAAAAACTGTCTTTCAAGCAATTTCTTGGCACCTGTAGGGTATGGGCCCAACCTCGCTATAACAGTCATCCCCGTGTTTGTTATGATTTGTGAATATTTTATCACGTATGAAAAGGGGAAACAACATAACTGTAAAATCCTTAAAAACAGGAATTGGGAGTTATACTTGTGGTCCTCACCCTGCTGACAAGCGGACATCATTCATCATGTGTCAGCTTTACCCTACGTTGAAACCTCAGACAGATGTGATCATGCAATTTTAAGGACAGATTGTTGTCAAACTTTAATGTGCATAAGTATCATTGGGGAACTAGTTAAAAGTCTAGACTTCCGCATCTCACTGTGATTCATTCAGTTAATGTTTATTGAGCTATTACTTTCTGTAGAGTTGCCAGAATTAGCCAAAAAAAAACCAAGATACCCTGTTAAACCTGAAAATCTGATCAACAAGGAATAAATTTTGAGTGTCAACATGTCTCATAAACAGCTGGAATGTGTCTTGATCCTCTGGGCTGTTGTGCTGTAGCAGAGAACCATAGACCAGGCAGCGTATCAACAGTGAAACGTTATTTCTCACAGTTTTGGATGGTGAATCCATTGTGGCTGGGCTCAGGTTGGGGCTCTCTTCTGGGTGGCTGATACTGACTTCTTGCTGTTTCTTCACATGGTGGAAGGAGGAGGAGGAAGTTCTTTGGCCTCTTCTCAAAAAGGCATTAGATTTCCAAAATGCCCCCCATGACACTTCAATGAGATGAGGGTTCTAGTAGGTGACCTTTGGAGCACCCACACATTTAGTCAGTCCACTGCAGACAGTGAGCTGGCAAAGGCCTTGCTTATCTTGTTTCTATCGTGTCTTTCATTCTGTTCACCATCTCTGCAGTTATCTGGGAAATTATTTCTGTTTTGAATTTTTCTGGAGCCTCATTCATCTGTTTTACTACTTCCCATGCTGTCAGTTCAGGGTGTCCTGGTGATTATCAGGTTTCTCCACTTCGTTACTCCAAGAGTTTGCCTATGGTGAGCTGGAAGTCTGGGTGTGTGCCTTGTTTAGGTGCCTTCTCATTTCTATTTTTGTTGTTGGTGCTGTTTTTTGGTTTAATTCCTGGACTGATACTTCAATATTGCTTATTGTGATTATTTTTATTGCTTGTATTTAGAACCCTTTTGGAATGATTACTTCTCAGATGTATCTTCCAGGTATAGCTGGTATTTATGCTTTGAGTCTCTAATTATCTTAGGCAATTTTGTTTTCTGTATACCAAGGAGAACAACTGATTAGATCAACCCTGACACCTTAGCCCAAGTGATATGATCAGTATCAACAGTAGCATCAAACACAGCTTAGAAAATGACAGTTTGTGGTAGCTATTAATCTGTGACCTTTAAGTGCATGGGCTAGATCAAAATCGAGGACCAGCCCAAAATATGTTTGTAGTAAATAAGCCCTTCAATATAGCAAATTTACCCTTTGGGATGAGGACTTAGAAGGAGGTGGGGAGGGAGGGACAGAGAGATAGAAGGAGAGGAAAGGTTAGAAGTGAGGCTAGAGGACACAGGAAGGTCACACAGATTTTGGGAAACTGTTGAAGACAAGAGGAAAAGACAGAGCAAAGGAACAAAGACAAGAACAGAACAAAGTAAGGGAAGCAGAAACTGTATTCACCTCCCTATAAGAATAATGACAGCCGGGCATGTGGCACACGCTTGTAATCCCAGCACTCGGGAGGCTGAGGCAGGAGGATCGCTGTGAGTTCAAGACCAACCTGGGCTACATAGTGAGTTCCAGGTCAGTCTCAACTGCATAGTGAGAGACCTTATCTCAAAAAACTAAAAATAAATAAATAAAAGAATAATGACCATTGAGAGAGGGAAAGAGAGGGGAAAAACCATCCAAAATAGGACAGGAATAGGAACACAGAGGGAGGGAAATGCAGAATAAGAAAGGAGGGAGAGAAAAAGCGGGGGAGGGAAAGAGAGAGAGAAAGGAGAGAAAAAATATAAATATATAAATTTAAAGAACAATAAAAAAGGGCCTCCTTCGGGGCATGTCTCTGCTATTGCAGCAGACAACAAGGGCAACGGTGTGCAGATCTAAGTTGATTAGTCTCAGCAAGCGAGCTGTAGTCCACTGAGATTCAGGCTGATTTCTGGCTGCAAGGACCAAGTTGAGGTCCTTGCTCTTCTGCAGGATGGAAATCTACAAGGTTCTACTGCAGGTTGTAGCTTCCCTTCCCCCAAAGCAAGTCTGGTGGGAGGTGCTGATCCCACCAACTTACCAACCATGGTGGTCCAGTGTGCCTTTATTGCAGAGATTTTCCTCACTTTCCCAGTGGGCTTCAGTTTTCATTGAGGAGCCTTGGAGAGGCCCTCTCCCTATTTGTTCACTTCTGCTCTATCCTCTGGAGCTCACAACCATGGCCTTTATGGCCCCCCCAGCACCTCTGCAATGCAGATTCAGATGCCACTGGTGGGGTCTGGGGTGGCTGGCCTCCTTGCAACCTACTAGTAGTTTCTTAGAGTGATACTCCTCACTCATCCTACTGACATGGGAGACACAGTAAAAGACATACACTGGCTGCCATCTTGCTTAAAGATGGTAGACAATCAGAGCAAATGCTCTCTCACAGAACAGCAGGTTAAGCCCAAGCAGTGACCCTATTGAGATGGTGGGCAGCCTCAACTGGTCTTAAACCTCTAGGCAAGTGAAACTGAGCTCTTTATGATGATGGACAGTGCCAGCACATCCTTCTGGGCACTGGGGCCATTGTGACAGGGTGTCACGTCTATGCTTGGCTCCCATAGGTGTCAGTACAACCCCTGCCTGAAATAAAGTACCATCTCACAACAGAGGGACACCTTGAGCAGCAGAGTTGCTCACAGCTCTAGGGCTGCTGGGCGATGGTAGGGTGGAGAATGGATGTACTGTCACCAGCAGTCACCACTGGCTTGGTACCATGGGTTCAATCCTCAGCAGGCAATGATGGGCCAGGGCCAGCTCAGCACCTACTGGTAGTGACCCAGCCTGGTGTGCCCTTTCTTCCTTCTTTCATTTTTTTTTTAAATTATACAAAATTTCAAACATGCAAAAGTATAGAGAATTACATAAAAGACTCACAGGGACCCAGCACAAATGTCAGTGATTTGCCATTCTTTTCTTGTGACTATTTCTGATTTTTGTTTTATTTTCTACTGAGACATAACAGCCTCACAATAGCGTGCATAGCCTGATGAATTTTAGTGGTGCATTTTCCCTACGTTCACACCTCTGCAACCTGCATTCAGAGAACATTTCCCTCCCCAACCAGCCCCTTCCTACCCATGCCTCTAATCTGCACTTCATCAATTATTAGCACACCTCAGTGGCATCATAGTGGGGAAAGAATATTGATACAGATAAATAGAAAAATGTTAAAAATGCTCTCTCTCTCTCTCTCTCTCTCTCTCTCTCTCTCTCCATTTACTGACCTAATTACTAGAAAGTAAATTCTAGATTGTAAAAAGGTGTAGAACAACCCACATTAATTCAGCTGAGAATGGATTTAGAGATTGGCTATTGTTTTTGATTTGGATTACATGTATTAACCTGTCTTCTTGGGTGGAGGGAGATATTAGGAATCAAACCCAGGACCTCCCACGTGCTAGACAAGCACTCGACCACTGAGCTACGCCCCTAACCCTGAAGGTTATGTATATTTACCTTACAGGCTCCCTTTCTCCTCCCTCCAACCAACCACTGGCCAACTCTACTGGCCACTGAGGATTCAGAACAAAACCAGACCTAGCCGGGCGTAGTGGCACACGCCTGTAATCCCAGCACTTGGGAGGCTGAGGCAGGAGGATCACTGTGAGTTTGAGACCAGCCTGGGCTACATAGTGAGTTCTCAACTACAAAGTGAGACCCTGTCTCAAAAAAAAAGAACAAAACCAGCCCTAGCATGAGCCCCTCCCCAGCATGCATAGTACCTTGGTGACCTGAGATGCCTGAAACCACTTCCCAGGGTTGCCCTAGATAGTGCAGGGTTGGTGTACAAAGCTGGGAAGGAAGGAGGCTGCCTGGGTCGCCTTCTGCTTCCTCACCCAAGCAGCAAGAAATCAGAGAGTCCTGGGTTGGTGACAGCCTCACCATCTTCACAGATGCTGCAGGAGATCTTCCAGATGGAAAACACCATCATGCTGCTGGAGAGGTCCATCATGGCCAAGGAGTGCCCACTGAAGGTGGCCCAGACGAGGCTTGAGTGCCGGAGCTGGCGCCCCAATGTGGAACTGTGCAGGGACATCCCGCAGTTCAAGTGAGTGTGTGCGGGGGAGGACCTGGGGCTCCACGAAAGCCAGGGTGGACCTTGAGACCTAGGAACCCTGAGTCTGGACTACAGAGCCTCCATCAGTCGGAGCATCCACTCCCACAACTTAGCGTGCTGCTCGGGGCTGGAGTGCTGGGCCCAGCCCACGCTGTCTCTCTCCACAACTTCTCTGCCCTGGTAGGTTGGCCCTTAGCAACACATCTTCTCGTCTTCTCTTGCTGGCCCCTGAAAGCTAAGGAGATGCCAGGTGGGGTAGTGCATTCCTGTAAAGCCAGCTAAGTAGAAGGTTGAGGCAGGAGAATTCCAGGTTGGAGGCCAAGCTGGGTAATTAGTAAGACCCTGTCTCAGAATAAAAAATGAGCTGGCGATGTGGCTCACTGAGAGAGTGCTTGTCTATCTTGTACAAGGGTCTGGGTTCAATCCCCCCACCCCCAGTATGAAAACAAAAATGCCAAGGGACTATTAGCCTCCCAGGCAGGGACTTGGTGTGAGCCCGTGGTTGCTTATCTTCTCTCTCCAAGCTCCTGAGGAGGAAGTGCCAGCTTTTGCCTCCCTTATTTTCCCCATTTCTCTCCTTGTAAAGTTCTCACCATGAGGCCCTAAAACAGCCGAAACCCTCCTTGCTGGCTGGACCCCTCACATCGCACTTAGCAAAGGGGCTGCATCTGTTGACAACAGGGGTGGCCCGGAAGTCTGAGCTGGCCCAGGAAGGGTTCTGAGAGCACAGGGTAGGGACTATGAGCTTGTCCCTGGGTATGGAGCCTGCCCCATCTCTGGCGTCCTTGGCTTGTAGGGCCCCACTCCATCTTTTCCTGCCTTCTTCCCTGTGTGTGCCTACATCTTGAGCCTCCCTGACCTTTGTCTTACAAGGAGATCTGCTGTTGGATTTAGGGCCCACAGTAAATCCAGAATGATCTCATCTTAAAACCTTACTGACATCTGACTTCTAAGTAACACTACACTCATGGCTCAGGGAGTTAGGACATGGACACACCTTTCTCGGGGATACTGCAGTTGCTGTGCCTGGCCTGGGAAGCCCTGGAACTCTCCTGCCCCTGTGCTTACCCTTTTGCAGTTCAAAACCCAGCAGCCTGCAGGTCCTCCCATTTCATCTCCTTCCACAGCTTCCCGGGACAATGGGAACAAAATCTTACTTTTGTATGTGCTCTTCTCTGTAGAAATCCACTGTCCTTCCCAGCGCTTGGAAAGGTAAAGGAGGAAGATTACAAATTTACATCCCACCTGGGCAGGATCACCTTTACTCTCTGAGTCAGTCAGCCATTGGCTGTGGGCCTCTGGGCATAGCACCATTATTCCCTGGAGTGTGGACCAGTGAGCCTTAAGGAGTCAACACTCAAAGCTCCTGGTGATGGGGCCCCCGTGAGTACTGGAGACTGAGCAAGACTTCAAGAGTCACTAGCGCACCCAACATTCATATCTGAATGAGGCTGGCCCTGTTTGTCACCTGCAAAAACCATATTTCCAAGTAGTCCAAATGGGCTAGGGATTTAGCTCAGTGGTTCTACCTCCTGCTTTGCAAGCACAAGGACCCAAGTTCGATCCCCGGTACCAAAAACACAAAACAAAACAAAACAAAACTGTTAGGCCAAGTAATCCAAACCCTATTTAAAATACACATTAAAAAAAATTTCCTTTGTATCGTGGCTGAATATTTCACAGTATGCAAACAGTGCTGTGTTTTGTTCATCCACTCATCCCTCAGTGGGAATTGGAGTTGTTTTCACCTGTGGGCCCTGTGAAGCATGTGGCTGTGAACATTCTGCACCTGTTGGTATGAACACCTGTTTTAAGTCAAGGAGCAGAATCGCCTACCAGTGATGGCTGGCACACGTGCCGCAGCAGGCTGTTTATTATCGCTGAAAGCTCTAAAAGGTTCAAGACGCTCATCGTGTTAAAGGCTTGGTTGCTGCTGGGATTTTGGGGGAAGTGACTGGATCACGAGGGCTCCAACTCGTTAGAGTTATGAGATCATAATCCGAGGCATTGTAGGGAGGTGATGGACACAGGGGCTAAAGGACGGGGTCATTGGCGGGTGACTTTGGGGCTGCATCTGGTCCCCAGCCCCGTTCTTTATCACTCTTTCTGCTTCCTGGTCTACAGAAGGTGAGCAGCTTTCCTTCACTCACCATTCTGCCGTGCTGTGTCTGCCTCCCACAAGTCTAAAGCCATGGAAGCAGCAGCTGTGGACTAGAACCTTAGATACTGTGAGCTGCCATAGACCGTTCCTCTTTTAAAATGGTTTTCTCCAGTGTTTCGTCACAGCCACATGAAGCTGACTAGCACACTGTGTCTCCCCTCCTGCCGCTGCTGTACGCCTGTCCCTGGTGACCCCTGCACTGTCCCTAGGCGGCCCCTCCAGGCCTGGGCCCTGTTGGCCTTGCTCACTATACTCGGCCCCTGGCAGGCACAGTTCCGCCACACTGTGAATGCATCTTTGTTGAGTGGCCAAATAAACGGCACCTCGCCTTTTGCCCGCTCCCCAGACTCGTGAATGAGGTGTTCGCCATCGACGACACTCTGCAGACCCTGAAGCTGAAGCTGCGTGAGGCACAGGACACACTGCAGCTGCTGGTGATGACCAAGTCACGGCTGGAGCATGAGCTGGCCATCAAGGCCAACACCCTGTACATCGACAAGGAGAAGTGCATGGCCATGCGCAAGACCTTCCCCAGCACCCCTCGCCTGGTTGGCTATACCTGTGCTGTCCCCTGCGTGGGGCCTTGCACCCCCTGCTCTGCCCCAGTTCGCTAAACTGCGTGAAGTTTGAAAAGGCTGGAAACAAAATAAAAGAGTCATTTTCTCCTTTTCTTCCTTTCATGAAAATACAGATAAAGAGGCAAAATAAATGTGTCCAAGTCAAAGCTCCTGGAGCTCCTCTTTGCTGCAGACAGCTCTGTGGAAGGCCTTGGGGGAGGCAGACTTTGATCCCTGGAGCCTTGTGAGACTTGGAGCTTTTCCAGGAATAAAAGAGACAGCCTTCTTTCTCTCCCTCCCTCCCTTCCTCTCTTCCTTCCTCCTTCCCTTCTTTTCTTCCTTCCTTTCTTCCTGCCTCACTCTCTCCCTTTTTCCTTCCTCCTTTCCTTCTTCAAACCTCTCCTTCCTCCTCTGCCCCTATCTGACTATTTAGGAGTACAGAGATGGTCGGAACTCGGAATCCAGGGCCCAGTTCTGTCACTTACCTGGTGAGTGGCCTTGAACAAACTCAACCTGGATGTGTCATCTATGAAATGCAGTCAGTCTGAGGTGGAGGTGATTGTCATCGCTGTAGGACAGTGCCAAAAAATACGACTTGGAGTCAGAAGTCCTGAATCTGAGGTCCTGAGTTCGATCCCCAGTGCTCCCCCCACAAAAGAAAGAAGTCTTGAATTTGGTATTTCAGATGTTTCATAAACTGCTATGGGGAAAAGGAGGCAAAACTAATTCTTTGAGCCAGTGAGAGGGGAGAAACTCTAGGGAAGAAGAGTAATTGCTTCAGACAGAGAAAACTACCCTTTGTCCCAGCAGCTTGTCTCCTAGGTACACAGCCAAAAGAACTGAAAATGGTTGCAGACTCCTGCACATAGATGCAATTATTATCACAAGGCAGAAGCCGCCCAAGTGTCCATCGGTGGGTAAATGGGAAACCAAAATGCTGTGGATGAGCATTTTGCCACGGAGTATTAGTGGACTATAAGAAGAGGGGCCGGAGGCTGTGGCGGGGATACAGGAGTGAAGGTCTCGAATAGTAGGGAGTTTGATGGAGGGATATGGTGCTGAGCAGGCAGAGGACCAGGGGAGGGACTGAGAATGCCAGGAGGGGAAAACAACCGGAAGAAGCAGTGTTGAGAGTGGAGGGCAAGTCGCAGGCTATTCAGAACACCCCCGAGTGGGGGCGGTCAGTGGAGTAAAGAAGCCCTTAGGAGACAGACATCCTAAATAAACCATTCACTGGGTACCATGGAACACGCTTTCAAAAAGTGAATTGATAATGTGCATGTAGGGCCTTAAAAATACTCGCACCCATTGATTTATAAAGGTCTTTTTTGTGTGCGGTACTGGATGGGCCCCAGGGTCGTCACACTGAGCTACATCCCTAGATCTTTATTAATTCTTTATTTTGAGACAGGGTCTCACTAAGTCACTAAATTGCCCAGGGTGGGCTTGAACTTGCAGTCTCCAGCCTCGGCCTTACAAATTAATGTCTTTCTTAAGGCTTTTTAGAAAACAATCCCAGATGCAGACCCAGATGTACTTGTTAGAGTTTCATCAGGAAATCACTACAAGTTATGTCCAACAACAGAGAGAGCAGCTAAGTAAGTTATAACACAAGCCACAGATTATCAAGTAGTTAAAAAAATTATGTTTAACAAATGTTTGAATGCTAAAAGGCCATGCATAGAAGGCTAAAAACACAGGGTAGGAAATGGTGCTTAAAACCTGTTTCCAATTGTGTCAGAAGTGCCCAGGAAGCAAGGTTGTGTTGAAATTGACCAGAATGGGGGAGCTGCCAGAGCCACCTGCGCCCCCACCCCCGCCCAGGCCTCCCAGCCATGGACGGGTGAGGGCGGAACCCTGCGGGCGCCTCCAGTACCACCCAGGGTTCCACTGCACCCCCACGCTTCTGGCCTCCTGGCTGTACCTGTACCTGGATCCATGCTGCAGAGGCACAGGGGGTTTTAAAGATAGAGCAGAAGTGATCAGTGAAAGGGCCTTACTCCTCCTAAGTCCCCATCCCAAGGGTCCAGTTACAATATTGAACAGTTTATTCACGGTTAACATATTTGGGGCTGGTCCTTGATTTTGACTTATTTCACACGGTTCAAGGTGATAGATTAATAACTACCACAAACTGGCATCTTCTAAGCTGTGCTTGATTCTGTTGTTGCTGATTGTGTCACTTGGGCTCGTGTTGTGATTATTCTAATCAGTTATCATTTAGCCAGCTGAGTGATTTAAAACGTTTTCAGTTTCACCAGAAAGGAAACTCCTCTAAAGTTGGAACCTGCAAAGGAGAGCTTGGTTGGGTTACAACTCCTTCTTTTATAGGGTTTTACAGCCTTGATCTTACTCAGTTGGTTTCATTGCATTTTCACAGCTCACATTGCTGATACCCAAAACATGGTGGCCAGGCAGTTGAATTTCAACCCGGGTACAGTTCTTTTTTAGGGAAAGTTACCTTTAAGACTTACTCAGTTACCTATTCTAGGAAATAGGAAAAATGCTTTGAGGAAATGTGAGGAACCAGTAAGGCTCCACCCTTTGGAGGCTCAAAATAAAAAAAAACAACTGAGAGACCGCTTTCAGAAGAGAGCCTTAAGGGCACCATGCTCCAAAACAGTGCGATGGAAGCCGACACAGCCTGGGATATTGGGTGGGCCTTGTGTGCATTTCACCTAAAAGGGGCTTTCCTCCTCCGAATCCATCGTCCCCATCTGCCTTAGTAACTTTCTCATTGCTGGGACACAATCACCAACACCCGCAACTTAAAGGAGGAAAGGCTTATTTGGGGAATTTGTTCTTCAGAATTCCATTCATAGTGCTTAGTCATCCGGGCACTCAGAGACCCCTAGAGCCATGGTATAAGAAAGCCTGGCTACTGCTCCAACTGGAGGCAGACCCTGGCATCATCCACATAGTGCTGGATTTATATGCATGCAGAATGCAGCAGTTGTGAGGTCAGAAACACAGATCTCAGAAGAAAGCCTGGGAGGCCAGATGGTGTGCCTCCAAGAGGGCAGTGTGTGAGCCTGTGCGGGTGAAGCTAAAAGGGTGGCGGAAGGTCCAGGATATTGGAAAAGCCAGGAACATGGATCATCTGAGGAAAGCCACAAGGCGTGGGCAAAGCCAGCCCAAGAGAAGTCACGAGAGCGATAATCACTGCAGTGCCTTAGGGGTTTTAGAATTCACATCTCATCACAACTTGCCCCAGGTGCTGGGCATAGAACTATAGGATTTAAAGTCTTTGTGCTGGGTTTAGGTCTTGCTTTGATCCCATTCCTGTCTATCCCCCTATTTCTCCCTTTTAACATGAGAATGTTTACCCCATGCCTTTGTATGTTGGCAGTGTTTATGCTAGTTTTCGTTTTTATAGAGGCTCGCAGCTAAGAGTTTGCCTTAAATTTCAGAGGAGACTTTGAGCTTGGACTTTCCAGCAATGCTGAGGCTGCTAGGACTTTGGCAACTCTTTTTTATAAAGGGATGCGCATGAGTCTTTTGGGGGCCAGTGATGGAATGTTATGATTTATATCTAGACCCCCCCAAAAAAAAACCCATGTGCTCCATTGCAGGGCTTTTGGGAGGTGATTGGGTCATAACACTGCTCAGTGGATTGGTCCACTGATGACTTTATAGCTAAGAGTGATCTTGAAACTGGAAGCCTGGTTAGAGGAGGTGGGTCACTGAGAACATGAACTGGCTGGGTCTGTCTCTTTCCTCCCTTGATAGTTTTCTTCTTTTGGCCACCCTGCCATGAGTTCTTTCTCCATTGCCGTGCCATTCTGCTGTCCTGCCCTGCCTTGGAGCCAGCCTGAGTATGGCTGTGTATGAAACCTCTACAAACTGTGAGCCAAAATAAGCCTTTCCTCCTTTAAGTTGTGCATGTTGGTGATTGTGTCCCAGCAGTGACAAAGTTACTAAGGCAGATGGGGAGGATGGATTTGGAGGAAGAAAGCCCCCTTTAGGTGAAATGCACACGAGGCCCACCCAGCATCTAAAGGCTGTGTCAGCCTCCATCGCTTGGTTAAGTGGTGGCTGCTGAGTTTCTCTATGGTAAAGTTACTCCCCTGAGATGAGACTTTCTTTGGAAGAGTCTGTAAGCTCAGCCCAAACTCAGGGTGGGAATCCAGCTCTGCCTCCTGTAGATAATGGAGCATCTGTGTTTGTTACTTGCAACTCTTATGGGAAAAAGAATTCCCTTTACGACGTCCTTTTGTGTATTTATCTCATCATCTATTTGAGTTATAATCCAGCATTATATTAATGCTCAATTTGTTTTAACTTTGGTCTTTGGGGGTCCTGTTTTTTTTTTTTTTTTTTTTAACACTGCAATGAAGATGTGATGTTGTACTGAAAAATGTAGCAATGCCAAGAAATATGGACAATAAAAAAAACTCATTATTTGTTAAAGGCAAGTCTTGTAAGCTGTGTTTAAGATCATCCATTTTAACATTTCCAGAAAAGTTGAATTTATTATTTTATATAATGTCAGTAAAAATGAAGAAAATAATTAGATTGGCTCATGGACTTGAAGGTGCTTATTAATTCCCTTTTACTTCCAAACCTCATCAAGCAGTCACTATATTTATGAAGTAAGTCAGCCAAATGCGTGAAATCCAAATGAATTTTAAGGTCTTCAATTTGTCCTGTTGAATATTCATAATACTGACATAAATAAATCCCTTCAGATAAATGTGAATTTAAATTATTGCAGTATGCTAGCATACTTGAAAAGCCCTTCCCACAGTCATGAAAAACATGAAGAAATATTTTAGAATGCTCATTAGCAACATGCCTGTTAACGTTTGTATGAAGCCTGCTCCAAAAACCACATACTTGACATAAAAAGAAATTATTACATTTGTCAAAAGTAAAATTCACACACATACTCATTTACCACGGGGTTGTGCAAGTCTTCTGGTTTGTTGGTTTCGTGTTCACAGAACGGACACAAGTACTATTCATGACAGCTGTGCTCCTGGAAATGAAGGTACAGCTCACTGCTCCGGGAGAACCGCACATCACACTGCTCACACCAGCAGAGGTGATCACTACAGTTTGTGTCTGCAGTGTGCTGGCTGAGGGTCTCAAAATGACTGTCTTATAGTCACGGTATTTACAAATATGAGGATCCTCTTTGTGTGCTTTGCTGTGTTCAGTCAGGAGCATGCTGGCAGAGAAACTTCCCTTGAATACTCTGCACACGTTTGTGCTTTAGGGTTGTATGCTGTTTTTTTTGTTTTGTTTTGTTTTGATACCAGAGATCAAACTCGAGACCTTGAGCTTGCGAGGCAAGCTGTGGTACCACTGAGCTAAATCCTAGGC